GGAAAGAGAAGGAATGATCGGCAAGATCCAACACGTGTGAGTGGAGGAGGAGTCATTTTGGAGAGAATCAGAAAACATCAACAAGAAACACAAAGAAGAGGAGAATCTATTATAAGGGAAAGAGACGTAGAGATGAATTAACTACATATTGTGCTAGCCATGTCTGAATTCTGCTTTGAAAATTCCAATCCAACCCAAAGAACACTGTTCAGAGACATCTGCAAAATATTTCACAAGGAAGATAGAACCGTCTGAAGACAGAGAATCAGAGGCAATTGGAACTTGCAAGTAAAGCATGGAATACTGCATGGAGTACTTAGTGAATGGCTTCAGTCCATAGCCGGCCACCACAATTGTGGGAAAGGAGCTGGTGGAAATGCAGTTGGGGGAAAAGCTCAACATTCAAATCTGGGTCCCAGAGCAGCCTCTTGGCACTAAGCAATACTCCACACTGCCATGTTCCCAGAGTGGATGAGGGAAGGACAGCCACAGGAGACAGCTGGTGGTTCGAAAGCAGGCCAGAGGGAGTCCTGCTGAGGGGCTGGAGCTCGTGAACAGGGACCCAGCTCATGTAGTTAGAGGCCAGATTCAGCCTGAGTTACATAGGAGTGGAAGGTCACATTGGCACCATGTCCCCATGGTATACAAATGTCTACATCCAGCACCATGCTGGGGGGTTATCTGTTTGCAGAAGAACAAAACTGGACACGTATCTCTCATCATATATTAAAATCAAAATGGATCAAAGTTGTAAACATTTAAACAAAAACATTAAGCTTACTGGAAGATAAAATAGGGAAAACACTTGAGGAAGACATAGGTATAGGAAAGGACTTTCTAAACAGAACTTCAATTGCATATGAAATAGCAGCAAGAATCAACAAATAAGATTATATCAGACTTAAAAGCTTCTGTACAGCAAAAGAATCAATCGACTGAGTGAAGAGAGCATCTATAGACTGGGAACATTTTTGACAGCCTCAGACAGAGGACTAATATTTAGAATATACAAATAATTCAAAAAAGTTTAACCAGTTAAAATTAAAGACCAAGAGTCAATAAATTGATAAAAGAAATAAACAGGCACTTCAAGGCAGAAGAAATACAAATGATCAACAGATATATAAAAAATATGAGAAAATGAAAAAATGAAAATAAAGTATTTGTAAATAGGAAAGGGAGGGGGGTGAAGGGAGGGCAGGGATAAGGGGAAAAATGAGAACCAATACCTGTCATGTAAAGGTACAAGATCCCAATGATGAATGTAACTGTACTGTATACCTAAAATGTACCAATAAACTCAATGAAAAAAAATATATATATTTTTTAAAGTTCAACATCTCTGGCCATTAGAGAACTGCAAATTAAAACAATGCTAAGATTCCATCTTATTCCAGAAAGAATGGCAATCATTTAGAAACAAAACAAGGACAATATTTTTAAAAGTTCAACATCTCTGGCCATTAGAGAACTGCAAATTAAAACAATGCTAAGATTCCATCTTATTCCAGAAAGAATGGCAATCATTTAGAAACAAAACAAGGACAAATGCTGGTGTGGCTGTGCTAGAAAAGGAACCCTCCTTTATGGTTCATGGAAATTTAAACTAGTACAACCACTATGGAAATCAGTATAGACATTTCTCAAATAATTGAAATTAGAAATTGCAAATGACCTTGCCATCCCCCTGCTAAGCATCTTCCCCAAAGAGCTTAAGTCATCAGACTACAACAATGCATGCATACTAATGTTTTTAACAGCAAAATTAAGAATGGTTAAATTCTTGAAGCAGCCTGTATGCACACGAATGGACAATTAGATACAAAATGTGGTATCTATATATAACATAATATTACTCAGCTATAAAATGATAAATTTGAACCTTTTGTAGGAAAATAAGATGCACTTGGAAAACATAATTTAGAGTGAAACCAAATAATCTTAAACACCGTATAGTATCGATCATTTGAGTGAGGCAAAGTACAGTGAAGATGATAAAGGATGGATAGAAAGGGACAAGGAGATGGATCTCTTGCAATAAGGAAATGGTGAGGGATGATGAAGAGGGGAAGGGGAAATAAGAAAAACAAAGATATGCTGTGTACAGGAACATAACCCCAGTGTGTAAACATTGCATGCCATGACATGAACTAGAACATGGACTATCAAGAAGAATGAAAAATGGGATAGGGGAACTGAAGGAAGAGGAAAGGAGAGGAAAGAAAGTGAAAGGAGTTAAAAGAAGCAAAGAAGCGGTGCATACACTACAATACGTACAAGTAACCACTCCCCAAGATCTTTATAAACTACATAAACTGTAAACACGGACAAATACAATTATTTAAAAAATTTAAAGCAAAAGAAGTGATATACAAGCCAAATGAGAGATCTTCAAATGGCCAAAGCTGGAAAACTTTGATAGAAAACATAAGTAACATAGTACTGGATTTTACGAATTATTTTTGAAAAATCATAAGTTCAGGCTTGCATACATGATTGTATGAATAAGGGGAAACGAATAGAAAACATTACTGTTCAGAAAAGTGCCAAATATATTTTACAGCCTTTTCTCTCTCAAGGATTTGGCACATAAACACTAGTGCCTTAGTGTCCGTTGTGCACAATAACTTCCTTCAAAAGTGTACAATGTGGATGTGGGGTTTGTGAGCGACTTTGCAGTGCAGACACAGTTGATTACCACTCCAGGCAGGCCAACAAGGCTAATATCAACAGTGCAGAAGCACTGTGTTTGCATGAAATCTTGATTTTATGTGAGAGCAATGGTACTTTTTCCTCTATTACCTTCTTGCCACAACCCATAACTCCAGACTAGTCAGGAGAAACATAGCAGGAAAAAAAATACCAATATTCTACTCAGTAGCTAGTAAGTACCTCTCAAATCTGTGAAAATCAGCCAAGACAAGGAAAGTTTGAGAAATTTTAAAGACTAAAGTAATCTAAAGATATTTAGATGTACCTCATATATAGTAACTTGAATGTGATCCTGGATCACAATAAAAAGAACACTAGGTTAAAACGAAGATAATCTGAAATGAAGAATGGATTTTAGTCACTGACACTGTGTCAATTCTAACAGTAACAAATGTACTATATAAACAAGAAATTAATGAGTGGAAACCATGTGTTTAAAGTCACTTTTTATAGCTTTACATTTTTTCAAATATCTGTATAACACTGAATTTGTGGTAGCACTATGCTAGGAAGTTGGAATAAAGTAAGAAATAAAGCATACAAGGCGCTTGTTGCAAAGGTGGATTAAAAATGTAGACAATCATGCAAGTATCTTTCCTTCCTTAATATTTATTTTATCACAAAATTTCATTATTATTTCTTGTTTCCTTTCCCAAAACCCTTTCTATTCTTTGATTATCAGGGAATTTGAAACATAGACAATTTTTCATGAACATTTAAAGACAAACTAAAATTATTTGCTTTATTTATAAAATAATTATGATATGAAAAAAGGTCGCTCTATTTTAAGACTGCATTTTGTTTCCAAGCACCTAAGAAAATCTGAGAGTGGCATTATATAATAATAAACCATTTCCTCAAATGTTATTTTAAAACATTTTCTGGACCCATACCTTCATCTATATCACCGTTTTTGTTGAAACACTTGAAATTGAAATGTTTATAGGTTAACACTGAATCATAAATACTCTATCCTCTTTCTCCTAAGAATAAGAACATCCTTCTTCAAAATCTCCATATTGTTATCCCATACAAAATTCTCAGCAATGGTACAATTATGTGAAGTTTGTATGCAAATTTTCCAAAATTTTTCCAAATAATCTGTAAAATGTTTTTGTGTTCTGTGATCCTATTAAGGATGACTTACAGCACTTATTTTTAGGTCTCTTTATCTTTCTTTAATCCAAAATATCCCCATGATTCTTCTTTCATAAGGATGATGTGTTAAAATATCCAGGTTGGTTATCTTGAGGAATGTCCATATTCTGATTTATGTGAAATGGGAATGATTAGATTTACATTAACATTGTTTTCTAAGAATTTGCACATGTAATATGTGTACTTTCATTGAAATGTATGGTGTCTCTCTGAGCCATTATGGTCATGTTGAGCTTGAAGTCTGGGTTGAGGGTGTTTTGCAGCTATTCATTAGAGAGGTATTTCCATTTGTAACTAATAAGCAACTTGTGGCTTCCTACTATGAAAATATATTAACTTATTGTCCTCCTGTGACATTTCACTTAATGCTCTTTGCATCTATGTATGATTTGTTTCTAAATCAATATTGAACTACTAACTGAAAAGGTCACTGGTGGTTTTCTCATTGTATTGTTATATCTAAGTTTATTAGCTACCATTTTTTCTGCAACTAAGAGCTTTCTTTTATCTCTTTCTTTTAAATGTTACTATGGACTCAGGAAAGGTTTTATTTTCGATATAGTATAAACCATTACCATTATTAGTTTTTTGTGTTTGAATTGTTCAATTTGATCACTAGGTACTTAATCAAGGCAGATCTTGTTCCCCATTGGTATATCCTAATGGAACATAACAAAGAGTTCTTAAAACTTTAGAACAGATTTTATTATTGCAGTAGAAAAGAAATGTCTACCTCTTTGCATGTAGCAACTAAAAAATGATAAACCTAAGGATATTTCATCATTTAATTGAACAGAATGAAAAAGTAAAAAAAAAAATTGAGTCACTCCATGAGTGATGAATTACTCATGACAAACCAAACATCAAACACCTGTTTTACAGCTGTTGTTAGTTGCATTTATGCCATTGCTGATCCTTTCCAAAAAAAAATTACAGCCTTTTAATGAGGGTTAATTATAAAGGGGAAATTGTCACGGAGATTAAAGAAGTTTACTAGTGTTTTTGAGTCATGCTGGTGATGAGTAATGCTGATTTATTATTCCACATAGTGCTGATAAAGCAATTCTCAGGAAAGTCTCGGCAATTCATTATCAATGTGAAGTTAATTATTTTTATTGGTCATATCTTCCATGGCTGAGAAACAGACCACACTCAGAGGTGTGAAGCTTGTTGAAAATTGGTATTGTGTGCTATAATATATGTTTAATCTTTGATTTTCTGTACCTACTGAATTTAGCTATTTCACCATTTTTATGCAGAGAGCAAATGCTCATCATTTTGAGTGTTTCCTAGGATTTTGTATAATTATTTAGAATGAATGCTTATTCCTTGGGCTTAACTAATGAAGTTAGCTTGTCATATTAGTATAACTTTCACAAAGAAATAAATTATTTTCCCAGTCCCATCTCCATGCATGGCACGCATAGATATTCAGTAAACATGTGTGCCATGAAAAAGATGAAGAAATTAGGAAAAGGAGAAAGGGGCAATTAAGTGTGATGGTGTCTAATAAAAGGCACCTTATACTCAGCTACTCTTACGTGCGGGCCCCAATTCCTCATCCCTTTGCTGCAAACTGTGGCCCTACCTAAGATAAAATATGCAACCCAATGACATGAAAAGTGTGACAAAATTATACAAGGCCAGGACCCATGAAAAAAGGGAGTCAGAATACAATTACCTAAAAATAAGCGTCACTGTAAACTCCTAACTGAAGTGTATGGTAATCAAATACATTAAGTATACCAATACAAAGTTAGAGAATTTTGTGTGGGGAAGCAACCTTTCTGAAATATTGAAGCTCTAAAGCCTGAAATATTTTTCACGCACATATTTGTACTGATTTTGTTTTCATTCCTTGGTTGAAATGTATCCTCGCTGGCTCTGAGTTTGAAAACCTAAAGTTAATAATTCTCCTGGAGAAAAGTTCTTGGATTATTATTAGTGTCAGTTCTTCCAAGATAATAAAGAAATAATTTATACAAAATATTTAAAATATATTAAGAAGATTAGGCCTTTTTTCAACTTTAATAAGAACCTACTTCTTCAGAAATTGTCCCAGGTATCCCTGTAAGAAAGGAGAGAATAAATCAATGACATTTGTTGCTTATCTCAATTTAGATACTTTGCTTCTGTGGAAGAAATTGGGAACTCATCTGAAGTGTGCTTCTTCATGATCTATATTCCTACAAGTTCTTTCTGAATAATGGTTCACTTTGATTTAGGTGCAATATCTATTCATAGCTATTTCATGTTACTAACGGAAATAATTTCATAGCACTTATGACTACTTGACATGATTAATTATATATTTAAACACTTAATTTGTTAATTATTAGTCTCTTCTTCCATTAGGATATAAGTTTCATAAGACCAGGACTTTGCCTCATTTAGAACTGTGTCACCAACACCAGGAAACTGTCACAGAGTAGATGCTTACTAACCATTTATTGTTAAATGAACACTACCACGTACCTTATTACGTGGGTTTAATGAGTGTGTAAGATCTGCCCTATTCTTTTCTTCACTTATTTATCTGAAGCAGAGTACAATGCTCTCTTCATAAAAGAGGCAACAATCCTTATTTGAGACACCTTTTGCGGGTGGAAGATAAGCTGGGTATGAACTGAGGTCTTTGCTATGGTCAAAAAAGTATCCATATTTATTTGAATAGTCTTGCCCCTTGCTATATTCCCTCAAGTTCAAAATTCAGCATTGTAAGTGAACCAGGATATACAAGTTCTGGCTTCCCTTCTGCATTATTTTCTCCATTGTTACTTTTAGTCCTCTGTATGTATATGGGGAGAGCGAACAGTGGATTTTCACTTTGTACCCCTCAGCAGCAACTTAATGAGATATGCTACTCATTCTTATAGAGCAGTCAAAGAAAGTATTTCATTTTTTTTTCAGCTGACTGTTCTGCTAAGATAGTTGTGTAGATATAAATGCATTTCTATGATTTTAGCTTTTAACCTCTTCATAATTGGGTGTCTTCTGCAGCCCTGTTATTTCTTTCTAACAACTTCCCCAGGACTAGTAGATATGGCTCTAGGATGTAAGCTACAGAGAAAGATAATTCAAGGCATTATGAAACAGAGAAAACTCCCTCTCAAATTACAGTATTCACAGACAAATATGGAAATGCTTCTAGACAGTAAACCCTGAACTGTACCGTGCAAACTAACCAAAGGTGAGCTCTTCTGATTTCTAGCTGTGCCCTACTTGATGTTAAACTTAGTCATATATTTGCTCAACTTGAGTTGCACAACCAAACACATTTGCCTTTATGATAACTCTTCAGATATGAAGTCTAAAGAAGCAGATCTAAAATATTCACTGCGTAAAGAGCATTAAGGGTTTTGAAAGAAAGGAACATTAAAGAAAAAGTATCCACAGGTTTTCTTGCATAATCTAATAGGAAGAAAAAAATCTAAGGCACAAGAAGCACATTGAATAGGAAAAGGATATTTTCAAAATAAACTTGATGAAAAAAAATTCTTAATACCATAAGTAAATTTTTCCAGCTTCCAAATCCCTTCATTGTCTAACATCAAATTATTTATTAGGACAACAGTACAGTAATGTCTTCATTCTTTTAATCACACACTGGCTATATACTATGTATATTTATCCTTATGCACATTTGCAAATGTTCTCTTTACATAAAGTTCATTTGTTTATTTGTATTTTCCATTTGGTAAAGTCATTTTATATGTAAATTATGTGAAGTGTATATAGTTATTATCCGCTCATTTGTAGATGTGGAAACTAAAGCAAATAAAGTTTAAGTGCTTTCTTACAAATTTAATAGTAATTAATACTAAGTAAAATATAATGTTTGGCTTAGACATTTCTGAATAGAGAAGCTATGCTGGAGCAAATGTTAGTCATTATGATTCTCTCTCACTTTGCTCTGCATTTGACTCTGTGGTCAGCAAATAATAAACAAATGAGTAATTATAACTCTACTGGCTATCTTCCAAATTTAACAATAGCATAAATTATGAGCTCTTTGGATTTACATTAGGTCAGTCCAGAAAAGAGACTCTGGGTTCAGGGTAGCCTGGCTTCTCTGTCTTGCCTTTCCTTAGTAACCATGCCACACACTTTACCCAAATTTGTATTTGCCTTTGAAGTATTTTGTTAGTCAAACTGCATATAAAAATCAGAAAAAAATGTGCCTAGGCAATACTATGGCTAAAGATGATCCAACCATTATGCATAGCTCAGAATGTTGGGGAAAAACTCACAAAAGGAAATAGACAGCTATGGCAGATAATTGATAATTCTACTGACAGTAGCAGCAATAACATAATAAAATTACAGTAGTGGAAAAAGAAATTTTTTCTAGTTATGATGTTTTTTACCTTTACATTTCTGTTTGGTCTCAAAGGTTACCCTTATTTAATGTTGCTTACACATTTTTGAGACTCAAATTTCTTCCTTATTATGATAAACCAAGCATAATTAAGAAAAACAAAGCCCAGAGAATGACTTCAAAATAGAGAAATTATGGCTTCTCCTTTTAAATGATTATTTTAAGCAAAAATGTCAGTGTATAAAGGAATGATAGTTATGACAAGATAAAATGATGAATGTAAACAAAGGTGGGCACACCACCCAAATAGAATGTCATCAGAGAAAACTGTAGTTGTAAGTAAATTAATCAAAATTTAACCTATTTATTCTAAAGCAATTTTGTGTTATGTTTTTTCCCAGCTAGTGCTAGATTCATGCTTTTGTTTTCTATTGACAAAGATCGACTAAATATAACCCCAGTGTAATTTTCTAGTGGCATTAATTATAAATTTCTCATGGGGATAATGTGAAACTAAAAGCTTATTTGAAAAACCCATCAATTAGACTGTATACTAATAAAAATCAACACATGAGAAACTAAACTTTGCATAAATAGAAATACTTGTCTTCATTTAATCAAGCTAACATGTCACAAAATTCAAAGTCTAAGATTTGATAGTCACATGATGGCAGCTGACGGGGAAGCTGTGTTTGAAGCTGGTGCTGGGATGTTTTAGGAGACCCTGGGGCAGCAGAGAAGGGCAGGAGCGGAGGCTGGAACAGCATGGCCTGGCAGATGATGTAAAGCAGTTCCTGTATAAGAAGCTACCAAATGTTGAAGGGTTTCATGATGTTGTATCAGATAGAGATGGAATACTTGTTGTGAAAATGGCCAACGACAGTGCCCCACTGAGCGTGCTTTGAGGCCTGGCTTCTGTCTGTTTTTGCTTTGGCAACAGACAAAGGAAGCAAACTGGGACTTTCAAAAAATAAAAGCATCATCTGCTGCTACAATACCTACGAGGTGGTTTGGTTCAATCATTTACCTTTGGTAGTGAGTTTCATAGCCAGCAGCAATGCAGGACTGATTGTAAGCCTAGAAAAGGAACTTGCTCCACTATTTGAAGAACTGATAAAAGTTGTGGAAGTTTCTTAATCTGACTGTGGTTTCTATGTCCACCTTTTTCTCATTATAACAACACAATATCAATCCAGCAATCTAGATCACAGTAGCCCTTTCATCCAGGTACTTGAGAAAAAGGCCTTCTTTTCCACCTCCTACTAAAAGAAAGCCTACAGATGGGTGGTTGTATTTTCTTGTGTAAGCTCTTTTCTTGTTTAGTGAGATCTGGAGCAACTGCAGAGTTAGTACAGCCTCCAGGTTAGGATGAGAGTCTACTCGTGGGTCAGAATACAGTAGCATGTGATCCACTTGAGCCACCAAGCTCTCTTTGAACAGTCCTCACAGGCCTTTGCATGGTGAGGAGTAATGAGGACATTTTTCTTCAGATTATGCTTTATTTCTTTGGGCTGAGTGTGAGAAAGATAAAATGGCTTAGTAAAAGTAATAAAATCAGTACAATCACTAAAACTTTCCTTTGTACATACTATTTTGCAGTGTGGGTGAGTACTACTGTTTGATTTGGTTCTTCTCAGAGGATACTGCTCTTTAATAAAAGGAAAGTTATACTTTATGGGTTTTCTTCCCATTCTGCTTTCTATAACCAATTGGTGTTTTAATGTTTATGTGTTCTTTATAAAATTTAAATATGATTTGTTACTAAATTCTGTTCGCAATATTAGGATGTATGTAAACATATTAGTATTTTATGCTTTTTCATACTTTTCTATTTCTCATACTTGAGTATGAATAAAATATTTTTAAATTTAAAAAGTATTTTATTTTATTAATATATTGAATGCATTTAAAATTTGTTACAAGATGTGCTGGGCAATGTAGTACATCACATCCACAGCAAAACTAATTAACATGTTGTAACTCTGTAATTAAAATATTTATGTGCTTGATATATACTACTTAATGAAATCTGAAGGAAGAATAAAGCCATGACATAGGCATGAATAGAAGAAAAATTAAGGAAATGTAAACATGAGATCGAAATATTGTGTCAATTTTACTTGCTTCTTTAGGACATTTTACAAGGTGTTATCATTGGTGGAACTGGGTTCAAATTAAATATTTATTATTCAAATATTTAGTATTCAAATTAAATAGTTTAGAAAAATGTACAAAATTTTATTTCACTCTGGAATGGAGTTACCCAGGCTGAAGTCAATTCTTCATTAACATTCTTTTTTTTTAATTTAATTAAAATTGTTCTATTAGTACATGTTTGTGGCACATAATGAATATATATATTGTGGGTAGTTGGTACATGTGTATGACACAACTCTTTTTACATCCTATTTTAATATTTTCAGGAAGGTTCCTATGTATTTCTTGTTTTTATTTTTGTTTTTTTGATAAGTTGTGATAAGCTCACCCCACATAAAAGTTTTTCCACAGGCCAGGATTTAGCTCAGTGGTGCTGCTGCCTGCCATACAACTACAAGGTCCTGAGTTCAATCCCTCGTACCAAAAAAAGTTTTTTCACAGTTGATAAAGCAGAAAAAAAAATCTAGAGAAAGAGCCATGTGTGTATACAGATGCATATATGTGTTGTAGTATATGAATTCAATTTGTGTTAAAGAGATACTTCAAATAAAGCATTATACAAAATTAAACTAAGTGATGTTTGAGGGGAAATTCTCATTTAACAGAAGTTTTTAACAATCAAAAATACCCCTAATTCATATTCTTTAAGAAACTCAGTTTCTGATAGATGCAAGTATAAGGAACAGCATTATAAAAATTATTATAAGAAATAATTAAACATTCTGTAAAGAGCCATCTCAAGAATATCACAACTGAGGTGGGATGAACAGGAAGAAGAGGTATGTTGTGGATCCATGGAAAGAGGGACAGATACAATCAAGAAACATTTGATGAATTTAAAATGATTCAAGTTTATGAAAGTAATAAGTAATAATGTTTATACAAAAAAGAATAAAAAAGGCAAGTAAATGTCTTGAAGAATATATTTGTAAAATATGAGATAAATGGTCATTACTACATTCTCAAATCCTTAAACCAGAAAGGGAATGACAATATATAAAGAAAAGTGTGAATATAATGAAAATTGTGAAATGACAAATGCAATTGATAAATGTATGGCTTATGCTTAGCCTCACTAAAACTCAGTAAAATGTAAACATTATTTTCTGTGCAGAAGCTTTTCAGTGTGATATAGCCACACTTGCTTATTTTTGGCTTTTCTTGTGCTTTTCATGTCATATCCAAAAAACTTTGCAATATCAATGTTACTGATCTTTTTTTTCTGTGTTTACAACTAGGCATTTCACAGGTTCAGACCTAACTTTTGTGTCTTTAATCTATTTTCATTTGAATTTTGTATATGGTATAGATAATATTGCAATTCTTTGGCATGTGGCTGTGTATTTTTCCCCCACTGGCATTTATTAAAGAGACTTTCTTTTCTTCATTGTGTATTTTCAGCATCTTGTAGAAGAATAGTTTGACATATATGTGTGAGTTTATATTTGTACTCTCCATAATAATTTACAATAATGAGTAAAGGATCTCAATAGACATTTTTATGAAGAAGATATATGAAAAGATGTTCAACATTAGTAACCATCAGAGAAACACAAATCAAAACAATGAGATATCATTTATCCCTATTAGCATAGATACTATAAAAAACACAAGAGCTAACAAGTGTTATCAAGGGATGGCAAAAAGACAACCTTTGTATACTGTTGGTGGAAATGAAGAACAGTATAGCTATTTGGAATATAGTGTGGAGGTTCCTCAAAAAGGTACCTAGAGCCAGGGATTTAGCTCAGTGGTGCTGCTGCCTGCCTCGCAAGCACAAGCTCCCAAATTTGATCCCTGGTACCCCAAAAATAAAAAATAACAGGGGCTTCTAGTGCATAGCATGGCTGGTGATTAATGTGGTAATTTAATTCTGACAATCATTATAACATGTATATACCCTAACATCACATTACCCACCTTGGATATGATTCAGTCTTTTATATTTAAATAATATATATTTTATATATTACATTATAAATAATAGCAAATAAATAATATCTTTTATATTTAAAGTAAGTAAAGATAATATAAAAGGAAGATTATTTTGACTCTCAGATCACTATAGATTTAAAAGCTTGATCATTTCATATGATGTAGAGGGTCAGGGATTTAGCTCAGCAGCACAGTACCTGCTTGGCAAGTTCAAAGTCCTGAGTTTGATCCCTGGTACCAAAATTAAAATATAAATAAATAAAAAATGCACCATTTTATGATGTAGAGTAGTGGAGAATCTAGCTTTCTCTTGTCACATTGATCAGAGTGACCGTAGTTGAAATATTTTGGGAAAAGATATTGGAAAGACCTATAAAGATTTTGAAATGCTAATGTCATGATTCTGCAAGTATATATCTAACAATTTATCCTACAGAAACTTACTTTTACATATCCACCGCCTGCCTCACAAGCACGCAAGTACCCGAGTTCAATCTCCAGTACCAAAAAAAAAAAAAAAAGAAAGAAAGAAAAGAAACATTTACTTTGGGTATCTCACACAAGAGAAACAATGGATAGATATTGGGAAATAAGAAGATGTTCAGGGGCTGGGGATTTAGCTCAGTGGTTCAACCGCCTGCCTTGCAAGTGCAGGAACTCGAGTTCAATCCCCAGTACCAAAAAACCAAAACAAACAAACAACAAAAAAAAGAAGATGTTCAAATGGCACAGGGTACAAGGGTGGGGGGAGAGGGAAGAGGACCAAGGCAGGGGGTGGGGAAGAGAGGAAAGGGAATAGGAATACGATAACAGTAACAAGGAATGGAAGGAAAACAATAGAAACAAAGTTTTGAAATGGAGAAGAAGGATTGAAGGGAAGGGAGGGGAATGAGAAAAAATATTATTTATGTAAAAATGTATTTACAGGTACAGATTCCTTACGATGAAGGTGATCGTTATGTATGTCAAAAAGGTACCAGTAAAATTATTTTTTAAATAAAAAAGTAAAATTTGAAGCAAGGTAAGCATGTATAACTAAGACAGTTCTGGATTCATTTTCATGTAGTCATGCTATGAGTTGCTGTGAAGCTATTATAAATAATGAAGCAAATGTCAAAAAGTTATATTGAGAGAGAATGATGTCTTGAAAGAAGTCCCTGAAGAGTATGTATGTTTGATCCCGTTTATATTTAATATTATATACAGGGAAAAATAAGGATGCAAAAATATCAAACTTTTGAAAATGATTGTCTCCAGAGGGTCATAACAGGAACAGGATGGAGAGATATTGCAAATCTTTCCTCTTCATTCTTTTACATCTTATTCATAGTCTATTGTCATACTGTCATAATAAAATAATAAAACACATCATTGATCTTATTTAACTTAGAAAATGTAGGAATAGTATAAGAAAGAAACTTCAAATCACTTTTACCTCAGAGACAAACCATTAATATTGTTTAAACTTTGTCTCAAAACATTTATAGGATTGTTTATAAACCATAGGTTCAATTTTATTTTGTTTAAAAAAATCTCTTACTGAAGAAATACTTTACTCTTACTAACACTTGTAAATATTGTTTAAATACTACAAACCTACCGCATGCACTTTAATAGATTTTGTTTTTTGAGCAGTTTGGGGTTTAATGAAAATGTAAGCAAAGAGTACAGAAAGCTCTTGTATACCCTTTACTTCTACCCAACCCCTCTCTCATGGTTTCCTCAATTACTAACATCTAGCATTATTGTGGTGAGTTTCTTATAAGTGATGAGCTGATATTAATGCTATCATTTAGTTAATGTTCACAGTGTTCATAGTTAACACGAGGATTCATTCTGTGTCATGTAGTTCTATGGCTTTTGACAAATGTACAATGTCATGTATTTACCGTTGCAGCATCATGCATGGTAGTTTTACTGCCCTTAAGTACCCTGTTCTCTATCTATTTATTCTTCTTTCACTCCTGTCTCTGATGCCATTTCCAGAATGACATATCAATGGAGTTTATAGTACTCAGCCTTTTCAGACTGGCTTCTTCTCTAAG